AAGAAACTCAAGGATCAGCGCAACAAGGCAGAAAAGGGTGACAAAGAGAAGGGTGAGAAGAAGAGAGAAAATCGAAGATCTGGTTCAATGGTGAGAGGAGGTTGGGCGCTGTCTGAACGACTGGCCATCAATGTGTCGGGCATGCGCTACGAGACACAGATTCGAACCCTGGCCCAGTTCCCTGACTCTCTGCTTGGAGACCCTCAGCGTCGCCTGCGCTACTTTGACCCGCTCCGCAATGAGATCTTCCTGGACCGCAATCGATTCTGCTTTGATGCCATCCTCTACTTCTATCAGTCTGGAGGTCGGTTACGGCGGCCTGCCAATGTGCCTCTGGACGTCTTCATGGATGAACTGCGGTTTTATGAGCTGGGAGAGGATATCATGGCTCGCTTCAAGGAGGATGAGGGCTTCCCCAAGGAGGAACCTCGGCCCCTGCCAGACAATGAGATCCAGCGCAAGCTGTGGATACTCTTTGAACACCCAGAATCCTCTGGAGGCGCCCGCATCATCGCCATCATCAGTGTGATGGTGATTGTGGTCTCCATTCTGATCTTCTGTTTGGAAACGCTGCCTATATTCAAAAAGGAAACGGAGACGAAAGAGGTGAGAGGAGTTCAAAGTTTTGACCAGAATGTAGCTAACAGGATTTACAAATTGTTTTCCGTTGGTCATGGTAATGAGAAAGAATGGTAGAATGGCAGTTAGCATGAAGCAGATGGGTTCCTGAGCATTTGAAGATGAATGAGCATGCATTAAATTAAACTGCATTTATTATTATTAATATATTGTGTAATATATAATATAATATATTATACTATAATATATATATATAATATAAGTCAACATGAATTGAACAAATTACACTTTGTGCAAATAGTCGCTGCCTTTCTTTATTTTGTATATTTTTTACATTTTAATAGCTATTAATACTACACAATATACATTAATACTATACTCTATAAAGCTATTAACTTGAAACTTTTTAAAGCCTATTTGTGCAGTCCCATTTTTTTGTTGTTCAGTATTTTCACAAAGAATCCACACAATTGCAAATTTAGTGAGGTGAAAGATTTACCTGATTGGTTGGTCACATTCATTTGTCACGTCAACCAACAGAAAGCAGCCTGATGTGAAAAGGTGACTTCTGTGTGAGCTGTGCTTCATCACTACACTATTAACAACACAGACATTTTTTGCCAAAAATGTTATATTCTCAGTGAACTTTCCTCACTTCAACAGTGTACTGTATGACGTGCGAGCAGCATTGCCACATAGAAGTGCATTTTTATTTTTTTCAGCGATGAATGGACAGGATAAACCAATCAGTCGTTTTTGATTACAGGACAGGTGTGGATATCTACCAATCCTTGAAATTAGACTAAGAACAAAACAAACAAAAAACAATGAGGAAATTCCCATTCTTGTAGCATTTGTGACCCAGTTGTTTACATTTTTAAAGGTTGACATGTTGGTTTGTTGCCACTTTGAATTATGGGAAATAACACTTAGGCTAGTGCTGTTTGTATTATATCTGTTTTAGAGCATTTCGCAAAACCGCCCAAGTACCAAGTGTAATATGTTTATGCACATTGAATACTGAATTTCTATCAATTGTAAAAACAATGTTATACTAAATGCTGAACTTTTTTGAGGCATTTTCACTGTATGCACTGTATGCACATTCATTTACAAAACCACATTTAAAATCACAAAAAAAGGTAAGTTTAGAGTGTGAAAAGTCACATTAAAAAAAAAGAAAGCACAGATGAAGAGTTCGGGAGCGGGAGAGAGTGTAGGGTTATTGCTGAGATTATTTTAGAAGTGTCGTTAAATCTGATACATAGATTGGGAGCAGAGACTCTGGGGGGTTGGAAAACAGTCAAGTGACGCTTCCATGGAGAGATTCAACCGGCATACACAGATAGAAAAAAGGGAAGGAGATGAGAAATGACAAGATGACAGGTGACAGTATGAAAGAGCGTCTGTGCCTGATCGAGTGAGGGGAAAATAGTGAGACGCAATGCAGGGTGGGGTAGGGTGCGAGGAGGGAAAGTTAGTAAAGAGTATCAAATTAGTTTCCCAGCAGCGACCCACAACCCAGCAACCTCAACATGCTGCCAAAGCAGCTCAGTAATTTTACATGGATCAGACAGTTAACGACAAGCAAACTAAAGCGGGTGAGAGAGAGATTGTGGAGTTACATTCTCAAGTTTCACCTTAGAGATCTAAGGTGTTATTTTTAGAGTAAGGACAACCCTTCAGTGCACATTAACACAGATACAGGAGCTTGTATTAATAAACAGACACACTCGAATGCTGAAATAGGAATGGAAACACACACTTCCACAACATCTTATGATGACTTTAGCAAAATCAAAATAAGCACTACGATAGGGAACACTTAAGATCCAGCTAGCCAGACACAAGTTCACACACACAAGCACACGTGCATATACACTCACATCTCATATGTCATACCATCTAATCATGTCTTACTCTTTTAAAATCTATTTTTCAAGCAAACACACCACCACTGGTCATTAAAGTAGGGTTATACATCTTTATGGAAACATATATACTCACATACTGATGTGGTTTGCCCTTGTGTACATGTTAGACTAAGTCATTTCTTTGGAGTCGTGGTGATAAAGAGCGAAAATGACCGACCTTTGAGTGAAAGGTCATATATACTGTGACCTTACAAGCAGAATGGGACCTTCAACTTCACTCAAGTGGTTGTCAAATGAGCAACCAAATTGTTTCTGTCTGGCACTTGTTAAGTCAAAGCATGTCTGTCAGAAATATTCTTATTAGGGTTGGGAACCAAACCGGTATATTTCCATTAAACAGAAATAGCTGAACTGACTGGCGCACAGTAGTTGACGTTTCTCGCCACAGAGTTCAATGGTCCATTCTTACTTTTTTTTACCAGTCTTAGTTACGTAGTATTGTTGCCATTCATTTTGTTCCCCATAGGAATTTTAAAACAAAAAAATTGTTAAAAAGTTATAAACCATGAAATAAACCAACCAGCTACAATGGAAATTATAACATTACAAACTTTTTATTTAAATCAAAAAAATTATTTGAAAATCATACTTTACTTGGGTACATTCTATAGACAATTATTTTATTTATTTATTTTTACAAATTAGGTTGCCCCAAAAGGTTTTGTCCAATTTAACTAACATCTGGGTACAACTTTGTCCACAAAATATGATTAACACACACAAATGCAGAATAAATTACAGTATTAAGTTGTAACAGAAGAAAATGTCAAAAGCACAAAAATGTTGAATATTACTATACTTTGATTATGCAACATGTGTCATGTGTGCCATCAGTTTCCATTTTCTGCATCTAATTTCTCTTTTTTTTTTTCTTTTTTTTTTTTTCACCAATATGCATACCAGCTTCACCTCGCTGGAAACAGTACCACGAACATCATGATGCCTTCCATCTTCAACGATCCATTCTTCTTGGTGGAGACCATGTGCATCTGCTGGTTCTCGTTTGAGCTACTGATGCGTTTCGCTTGCTCTCCCAGTAAGATGGTCTTCTTCAAGGATGTGATGAACGTCATAGACTTCTTTGCCATCATTCCCTACTTCGTCACGCTCGGCACCGAGCTGGCCAAGTCTAAAGATACGGCGCCGTCCATGTCCCTGGCAATCATAAGGGTCATCCGTCTGGTTCGAGTTTTCCGAATCTTCAAGTTGTCTCGCCACTCCAAAGGCCTTCAGATCCTGGGCCAGACGCTGAAGGCCAGCTTGAGAGAGCTGGCGCTGCTCATCTTCTTCCTCTTCATCGGAGTCATCCTGTTCTCCTCAGCCGTGTTCTTTGCCGAGGCGGAAAACCCGGGCACGGCCTTCACCAGCATCCCAGAAGCCTTCTGGTGGGCTGTGGTCTCCATGACGACAGTGGGGTATGGTGATATGTACCCGGTGACGGTGGGCGGAAAGCTGGTGGGCTCCATGTGCGCTATCGCGGGCGTGCTCACCATCTCGCTTCCCGTTCCTGTCATCGTTTCCAACTTCAGCTACTTCTACCACCGCGAGACGGAGTGTGTGGACAACCAGGAGTACACGCACGTCAACACCTCCCTTTGGGAGGAGGAAGAGGGTGGTGAAGAAGGAGAAGACGGAGAGGAAGAGCCCGGGGAACAGGGAGACCGCGTTCCTCTCGAAGGAGGCATGACCTACAGGGGGATCTGTGCCCCTCTCAATGGGACCCTCCTGGCTGGGCTGTGTGCGGGACAGGCCGGAGAGCAAAGCATAGGGAGCGTTTACCCGCTGGTGACCCAAGTCTGAGAGACTGGAGATCAAAAAGGGGGAATGAGAGATGGAGGTGGTCCTGTGCCATGTTTAAAGGACACTGCATCGCTGTGACTCTCTGAATATCTGGGTACGATGGGAAGGAGGAATGCAGGAATAAATGCAAGAAACAGAAAACGATCGACACAGAGGCTGAGAAGGTACAAAATGCAGTTGCTAAAGGAGAGGAAAAGTATGAAGAAGTCACAAAAAACATTGATTTTAACTTCCATAAAACGTTTTTTTTCTAACGTTACAAAACTTTTATTTTGACATCACAACCTTTACACTGAACGTATCTATTCAGAGATCTAGTCGCTGAGCTGTGTTGTGCAATACAAGCGTTTGCACTTTTGCTTTACTGGAATTCTCGACATAAATATATCGGACATATTCATAGGAAGAAGCGCCATGCGGTGTCATTTAAATGTCATGTATTTTGTCACCCGGGTTGCGGCCATGAATGTGCCAGGGATTTGTGTGCCCGACGGATGGCTAAAGTCTTAAGCATCATTCATCTGGAACAGTTTAATGTTACTGCTGTTCTGAATGACACTCTTGACATGATTTGGATGAGAGATGTGTGTGTCTGTGCTTGTGTGTGTATTTAAAAGCTTTTTAGGAAAATATGTAATATCTAATGTGTGCGCGCGCACATGCTCTATGAATTATGGAACTCTGAGCCATGTTGGTGTACTATTTATTAAAATTTTTAATCACACAAGAATCATACTGAAGTGACTTTACAAGCGAACTACAAAAAGAACAAACAAACTGAAAGTGGAATCTGCTCCAGCAGATATCCGTCACGTTATTTAAAATGTAATGTTTAATTTACAGTAATAATTATTTAATGTTTAATATAACAATGTTTAAGTTAATAATGATACTTTAAATAATGATTCATTTAAATAATTTTAGACCATAGTGAATAAATAAATATATTCAAATAAATACACTTTCAGGCAACAAAATACAGTAAACAAAACATTTTTTACCTTGCAGTCCAGTGATAATGTAAAGAGTGCCTCCATAACTGACGTTCACCCGTCCTCATTTCTTAGTATGCAGACTGGGACTGGAGAGAGTGTGTGACCGATGTCTCATTCCAAGTGGGTCATCATATTCCAGGTTTAAATCCTGAATATACTGTTTCACCTCCTGTATCTGGCTGTCCTCTGCCACCGTATTCATAATGGGGAGGAACCGAGAAAGTGGAGCCCCATGTTTCTGTCCAGACTGCTTTGAGGGGAGCGACACAGGAAGCCGAGTGTGTGGAGAAAGGAAAGAAGAATATCCATCTTCCAGTAGCAATTCCTGAAAGATGCAGTCTCCTTTAGAGTAAAGAGGCTGAAAGAGAAAACAAAACTCAGTACCAAATGTGTTCAAGTCTCCAGTGAAAATGATAAAAGTAAATTAAATGAATATACTGCAACAGCTCATTCACTGTTCACTGTGGAAAGTGTTGCAAACCATGTCAAAGCAATTCGACATGTTTTAAAATGAATGAAATACAGTAAAAACATATATAATAATATTATTATATAATAAAATCTACATTATGATTAAAACAATTTGAGTAGTGGTAAATAGTAATTATTAATTGTAAAATCGTCATTTATAAATACATTTTATATCAATCACATTTAAATGTTTTTTGCCAACAAATCATAAAAAAACACTATACCGTTCAAATGTTTAGGGGCCGGTAAATGTTTTTTAATGTTTTTGAAAGAAGTCTCTTATGCTCACAGTAAGACAGTAGTAATATTGTGGAATATTATTAGAGTTTAAAATAACTGTTTCCTATTTCAATATATTTTAAAATGTAATTTATTCCTGTGATGTCAAGTCTTGAGTGTCACATGAATCATGATCCTTAATATCTTCGTGGAAACCATAAAAAAAAAAATTCAGGCTTATTTGATTAATTAAAAAAGGTCAAAAGAACACAGCATTTATCTGAAATAAAAATCTTTTGTAATTATAAATGTATTTACTGATCAATTTTAATGCATTTAACAGCAGTGATCAAAACTCACCAAGATTCACTGTGCGTAAATAATAATGCATATAATAAAGGCCTTTTACATTTTCTTTTGTTTACACTGCTGTCTAGAAAGCTAAACAAGAATGGTGTCTTTTTAACTGATTGCCATTTTCAGACCTGTCCTTTCAAGTTGTCTTCATCATCCACACAAAGGTAGAGAGATGTAGCCGCACTTTGGATGACCGTCTCACCCGCTTTCACTGAACGCAGTTTCAGCACACCTGCAGCGCAGCAAACAAACACCACACCTCTGTCACTATACCATAATTCACATGCATCACCTTTGGACCTCAAATATTAATATCCACTGCCACCATGAAATATTTTCATAACACTAAAACCAAAATGACAACAAACGTGTTATTATTTGCATGATCACTGCTATCATAGCTATTATAAACTCATTATCTCTTCTGATAAGGCATTTTTCCTTTGGAGAAGTATCTCGACTGTTACTTAATGAATACTCTTCCAGTAAACGGTGCTCTTTAACTCATGTTTGCAGAAGTTGCTTACAGTTTTGTCTCTGTTCCGGAGACCCTCTGACGGAGCCATCAGGATTCATTTCAAGGAACAGCCCATGAAATCTGTTCTCTAAAATGAACAAAAACACACAGAGACATATGAACACACTTAATGCCATTACCTCAAGCCAATTGACACTTTAGGAACAAAGCACAGTGCACTTGCAATACTGAAATGAAACACATTAAGTTGTATAGTAACATCATCACACACCAACTAAAAAACGGAAGACGGAAGAAAGCAGCACGTCACCCACATTAAGCAGATAGTAACATCTAAACATTGCAGCTAAAAAAGAAGCAGAAACCCAATGTTAAGAAGTGTAAATTCAACAAAAAGCACACTGCAGTAGGTTAAAGGTTAGGATTACCTGTGTAGAGCAGGCGTTTCCTGACTTGTGTGCTGAATGCAAGAAGCACATTCTGTTCAGGAATATATATACACCAATGAAGCGTTGGAAACAGAGTAAAAAAGATGAAAAAAACGGCAAAAAGCATGATTGACCAAGCCGACCAGGTGGGCATCAATAGAAATTGATGAACAGAAATAGAAATTTGATGATATCCAAAGGTAAAAAATATTTTAAAAAAATGAAATAACTGTAATTATAAATCTTAAGCTAAGTTCTTAAGTTAAATCTTAAGTGTATCAGTTTGTGCAAAGAACTGAGCAGCGATATCTTCAAGACCTCCAGATATGATGGTCTCCACAGAAGACATGTCCCTGTAAACTTGTATTTATATGGTATTTATGAGAGACCGACAGAGAATCCATGAGTCACTCAAGTACGAAAAGGAAAAATGATAACAAACTTGTTTTCAGGAAATGAACGAGGATGATGGTAAATCTCACAAGGCTATGCCAGTCATGTCATTGATCTCAGCGAACAGGGGACCCCCGACTTCAGTATTACATTCAGGAAGAGGAGAACATATATAAGTTTGCATATCAGAGATTAATCAATGTTTGTTCAATACATAAAATGTTTCAGTTATTTCCCCAGTATTGAGAGGAAATGGTGGCGGCAGTTTAAACAGAACAGATAAGAGGCCATAAAAAGCACCTCGTGCTCATCTGTACATTCTCACCTAGGAGATGACAGGACGCGAGGACACTAACACTACCGTCCCGTCAGCTAGAGAGGGCAGTGTGGCATCAGTTTATGATCTGTTAATCTTTTTAATGAAAAAGTTAAAGTGTGCAGTTAAAGTGTCTTATCTTAAGAAAAGATAAAACAAACGTGCTAGCCCGGTCTGACAATAATTGTTAGATCCCTGTAAATGATTAAAGAAAGACTGTAAATACTGAGGTGCAATTGGACAGCTGGGATCCAGCAAGTGATGACCGATGTCCTTAAAGGCTCACATCCTTTCCCCCAATTGCCATTTTGGCCTTTCATCCTAATACAACTCCCTTAAGCTTTCCCGTTTCGTGTCTTTGACGTCCAGGGGCCCCACAATAACGTCAGTGTCCCTTGTAATCATCTGTCTCCTGCCTCACTGTTGTCCTGGGAAGAATGAGGAGGATTGACGTCTTTCTGGCCATCTGCTGCTCTCTCCCATCCTTTGCTCTCTCCTTCACTCTTCTTTGAGCGGATTAAAGGTCTTTGTCTCATCATTGTGCGAGAAAATTTTGACTCTGTGTGCATGAAGGGATTTCGTTCGTCCACCGGTCTTAATGCGAGAGCGAGACAGGATTTAAATGCGCTTCACGTTGACATCGACTCTTACACAAGAGGCATTAAAGCACAAACCACTCGAATAAGTTTAAAATAAATTGTTCAGATTTTATTACACACACCACAGACAGCAGCTGATGTGGTAGTATGAATTCAGAGGGACAAGGGGACACCGTGAGGCGTTTCAGAGACACATTAGTGGGGAAATTAAGTAAAGTCTATCATAATAAATACATGAGTCAGACAAAAGACATCATAAACTACAGCTAAAATTTACAATGATAATCCATCATAGCAAATGACAACAATATTAACAAAGTAATTCTTAAATTGTAAAGGAAAAAACATATAGCTCTTTCCGAGATTCTTACATAGATTAAGAGGCTCAATGGATTGCTTAGTTATGCTTTAAGTATCAACTCTTTCAGAAAAATAAATACAGACAAACGAGACAATTATTGACGTACAGTAAGATGGCAGAACTATATTGTCCATTGCTTATGATTCGGGAAGTATTTGATGGGAAATTTGTGAGTTCATACTGAAATGTGGTATTATTGTATCAAATCTGGGCATAATTTGAGATGTAGATCTGTAGGCTCTTCTCTTTCCTGACTTCAGCAAAAGCCTCCACTTTCTCTCCATTTTATTTCATGGGACAAACAAATAAGATATTAATATTTTCTATTTTATTTACTCTACCGTCCAAAGTTTGGAGTCTGTAAGATTTTTTGATAATACTTCACTTAAAGCCTTTATGTGTAATGCATTATAAAGGTGTTCATAATGTACTATATAATGCATCATATCTTTTCATAAATAATTGTAACCAAAGTTAAAATGCATTATAATAATCACAGATTCTTTGTTGAATCTGAAATTGGTTGTTTTCATTTTTTAATGCATTACACTTTCTGAAGGTGTATTATAATGTATTATAAATGTGGTTACAATTATTCATGTGACAATACAATGCATTATAAATGGCATTACAAGGCATAATTAATGCATTAAACATTCTTTTATAATGCATTATACATAAAGGCTCTGAGTAAAATGTTAACCATATATTTTAATGTTTTGTATAAGGAAGTATCTTATGCTCACCAAGGCTGCATTTATTTGATTAAAAAAAGTAATATTGTGAAATATTATTATAAATTAAAATAACAATTTTTTTTATAATACATTTAAAATTTAAATGTATTCCTGTGACAGTAAAGCTGAATTTTCAGCATAATTACTCGTCTTCAGTGTCATATAATCTTTCAGAAATCATTCTAATATGATGATTTGATACTTTTTTAACATTTATCAATGTTGAAAACAGCTGTGCTGCTTAATATTTTTTGTGAAAACTTTTTCTTCAGCATTTTTTGATGAACAGAAATATCAAAAGGACATTTATTTGAAATAGATTTTCAATAAAAGTATTAAAATTTCTTTCTAAAATTTCTTTATAAAAAAAAAATCTTTGCAATGTTTTGGAAATCTGTACTAAAGTATCTCATGCCAATAAAGCAAAATGAATTTGAAAAATAAAATAAAAATAAATTATTTGTGTGTATAGGCTGGATGTGAGTGAGAACAAACTTGAATGAGTGGATGACTTGCACGATGACAATAACGTACCAAGTCAGGTTTGTGTAACTGCACTTGGCCTAGTATCTTGGAAGTGTATAAGCCTGACGTCACACCCACTAATCTAAACAGTGTTTTAGCAAATGATCCTTTCAGTATATGATTCACTTTTTTGAGGAACAGGAAAGAACATGATGGGTACGGGGAAAAAATTTATTGCGTTACTCACAGCTGCTTGTGACGTCCTTGTCACCGTCAAAAGAAAAAACCAACAAATCATAAAACGGGAGTTTTGGAACAACTTTGGACTGTTTATAGGAACCAACTACCTCGACTCATTTGAAATGCCTGTTGTCATTTCTTTGTTTATCTTGCACTGGCAGCGAACAGAGGACATCTAGGCTACACAAGTAAACTAAGGCAGCTCAAATGAGTCAAGGCTCATCATTGAGTAAGTCTGGGTTTTACAGTGCAGGGCAATGACATCCAGTGTAATAACCAGTATCCCAGTAATTCAGATACATTATATGACAGGGAAGTCAAAGACTAAATTAAATCAAGACTGGCACATCACGTGCAATAAACGGTCAAAGCACTCGTCCGGTGGATTCCCAATTTATTATTGAAATCCTGTAAAAGCAAATACCCAATAAAAATAAATAAGCTGCAAGTTACAAACAATTGGTATTGCTAGACTATAAAGCTGACACTAAGAAACATACTTGCCAATGAACCCTCTATTCAATTATGTCAAGTTTCTCAAAGCAGAACAAACACACAACACACGTAGGTACTCAAAGTCTTTGCCAAACATCAATACACCAACTTTCATCCAGCAAGGTGGATGCTGAAATACAGAAGAAGTGAAAATGTGGTAAAGCTTTGACTGTTCCTGTTCAGGGCAGGTCACAAGTTGGGATGGCATGGCGTCTGTCGTACGCCGTGTCGTCACTTTCCTCTCCATCACTCGCCACGTCCATCATTCGTTCTTTCTCCTCATCCTCCTCAGTCTCGCTCCCTTTATCCCGCTCCCGTTCTCGCAGTCTCTGTCTTTCTCTGTCTCTTTCCCGGTCTCTGCCTCTCTCTCGGAAACCTCTGGGAAGTGTGGTAATCTGCAGGATATAAAGTGATGATGAGAGTCAGGGAACAGCATATCCACAACAAAAACATCACAGTATAGGAATTACCTGATCAGACTGACATGTATAGTTAACTCACACTCATGTCTTTACAAACCGCACTGTAAAAAATATTTGTCATTTTTTACAAAAAAAACCCTGCAAAAATACTACAGTAAAAACCTGTTCATCGGTTTACTGTACAATATACAGTGCTGTCAAATTACTGTCAAATTTAATGTTTTTTTCAGAAACAACTGTGAATTATTGAAAAATTAATAGTGTAAAACAGTTATAAAAAAAATAATAATAATAATAATAATTCCCAGAAGCCAATTCAAATATCATTATATTTTATATCACTACTTTTGTTTATACTTGGTGTTTTGTCTTGTGTGTATGACTCTGTGCACCATTATACATGTATTGGCTTTTTTTTTTTTTGGACAGGCCCCTTACATTGAACTCTGTATTATTATAGTGGTTATTAGTTTTTATCTCATTTTTAGCTAAAAGCTGATTTTGTGCCAGCCACCGGCAGCATTTTTGATCATTTTCACAAAATTTGAAATGGCTCATATTTAGTTTTATGAATATCTGAACATGCAGTATATCAAAAGAAAGTACAGAGCCTCTTCTTTAAAAAATAAATAAAAATATTATTATTATATATATATATTGTGTGTATATACAGTATATATTCTAGCTTCATGCATTCTTTATCAACACTTGAATGTGGGTAAGCTTAATAAAAAAGCTTTTTTTTTTACAAAAAGCTGAGAAAATAAAGAGACTTTAAAAAAAAAAAATGTTTTTCAAAGACTACAATATGCATAATCAATGTGTTTATTGCTTGTTTCTGCTTTATCTTTGCCTGTGTTTTGATCCGGAGATTCTGTTCTCTTTTCAAAGATGCATAATAGAGCCCCCTACCGTATAACAGTGAAAACATGGATTGACGGAAAATTCCATCAATGACGGGGAAAGAGGTCCTTTTAAAGGGGTACTTCACCGTTGGAAGTAAATAGATAGGAAAACTTCAACACCCATAATACACACCAGTCTGCTCTGGATATGCTCACCAGAGTTAAATACCGCCTTGCTTTAGTAGAAAATGCTGGTTAGCAAACTTTTAGTCATAATGGTGTCA